AATCTGTAAGTTATACAAGTAGAGCTTGTGGGAGAGCGGAAATCATAGGCAGCGTTTCGTGTTTGTGTATGTGCATTTTGCTGGGCAGAGAATCCAGAACTTTCACCAGTTTGCTCTGAGATCTGAGACCCAAGATTATAAATCGCCATCTTATAGATAATGTAATACTTGTCCTATGTGTGCCACGTGGGTCTTACAAGGTAAATAATTGACACTCCAGGGAAAGTATTTTATGAATACATTTTACTGGAGGAAAGCATTTCTGGGCTCCATTTTATAGTCTAACACCCGTTTTTAGAAGAATTTTACTTAATAAAACAAATTCAAATTCTCTCAGTAGATCAGATAGGAATAACTTTCCTTTATCCTTCAGTGTCAGAACTGCTTGTTCATTTTCAAAATAATTTTCTTACCATTTAATGTGTATTTCAGCAATTATTAGGTGTATTAATTTTTAAATATGCTGTTTTTACGATTATTATTCCTAACGGCTTCTTGCAACATGCCTGTGTTTTTCTGATTATTTCCTGTAGAGACTTATATAATGATATTTTCATTATAGCAATTCTAACTTTTAATAATTATTTAACCTCATGTGCTGACATCACCTTTTCACTCCTTCATAATTCAGAACCAGCCTTTTGTGATACTGTCAGAAATTTTATTCTTTAATATATAATTGGGGTTTTTTTCCCTTTTCTTGGTTTGAAGCTATCTGCCTCATAGTTATCCTCTATTATCTAAAATGCAAATGACAAATCTTGATATCTTTTTCTTATTTTTTCTTATGTTTGGTTTTTAGCTTTCTGCCAAACTTGGGTCAAATATTTCTAATAATTAAAGTATTATGTTACTGTTGACCTGTAATATATTTTAAATGTATTTTCTACTTTCAGCTCCACTTAGTTCTTGTGACCCAGTGACAAACCGACCTTGACCTTAAATCAATCCATTGTTTTCCACTTGATTCTGTGGGATGGGCTGATTAGAAATAATTTAGTTCTTCCTTAAAACTGCTAACTTCAATCAGAATTATTTTGTGTTCTTTATTTTTGTTGTGTTAAACTGCAGCAGACCTGATATGTTTATTTTCCAACTATGATCAGTGTTACTAATTAATTTTTATAAACCAAGAATTCCCTCAGAAATGCCACCTTACATGATTCAGAAACTATGGAACTTTTAATGGTCCTTGTTTATGTTCAAATCGTCAGTTGAGCTATTATGGGGCTCGACTAGATTATGAAATATTTAGAAGAAACTACACAGTGATGTTATACAGAGTACATTTTTGTTTTAATTTTTTTTAAATGAATTAATTGTATTAACAATTTCAGAGTAAACCTAATGCTGTTTCTTTTCCACCTTCATTTTCTCTGCAATCTATTGTCAGTTAACTATAAACATATTTCTTTTTAAATGCAATTCAGAAGCCTCCAACAGAATCCTGTGGCAAAGTGGCAAACTTTTTGTACATGCCGTACAGATGTGTCAACCGTTTACAGTTTCGCTTACACACACGACAGAACTGCCACACCTGAGCAGCTCAACTGAAAATTACCATTGAAATCATTCTGCTAACAGAGTTCTTCTACCGCTTGGCGTATGTCAGTAATGAAAAATAATCAACATAAGCATCTCTGAAAAGCAATTTCAGATCATTAAAGTTGTATGAATTTTTAAAAAGCAAGAAGATTTGTGGCTTATTAAGAATATTGTTAGGTCTCTGAATTGAGAGAGGCATTTATGTTTCCATTCAATAGGGAAAGCGTGGCCTAATTGTAACCTCCTGAAAGACACATGGGACAGGGACAGCAAAAGACTCAGGCGTAATCCCCACTGCCCCTGCAAACCTCCTGTGACAAACAAAGCCCATCCAGCCGACTTCTGAAAAGAAAGCAGATGTGTGAACACTCCCTGTTTGCTAATGGTCTGCGTCTGTGATACATCATTGTCTAGCTGGCGTGCAGTCAAGGGCTTCTGAAAAATCATTCTACAGAATGTATACGTGCCTTTTTCAAACATAATCTAAATATAATTGCATTTGCTCAAGGAGCCTCAATTTATTCATTTTCTTCTCTTTTTTGTTTATTAACTATTGAAGTCTACAATTATTTGTAGATTCATAGTTGTAAAATTCCAAAATTCTTTAGTAATAAAGAACTGATTCCATTTCTATTTAGCTACCATAAAGTAGAAGCTTAAAAAGATGAGGGTGGAGTACATTCCAGATAACCTGGGGAAAGCAGTGTTAGTTTACCTGCATACTTTTCTGGGAAAAAAACTGCTATTTCCCAGAATCATGAATACGTTTGCTAAAACGTGCAAACATTGCATTTTAGCAGATATGAAGTACATCTCTGTCATGTGATGTGAGTCTTTGTCAGCTGCAGCTGCTCAATTTGCATGCAAATTCTGAAAATTTTCTTGTCCCATGTGACACTTCTGAAATGTCTGTCTGTTCTTTTTTTCCTTTTTTAATTTCCCAAGCTCACTATTTGGATAAGATAGTTAAAGGTACTGTATACTTACTGTTTATTGACATATCTGCATATATAAGCTATATATAAGCGTGTATCAGATTGCATTAGGTATGACGAGAGACTGTTTTCCATGCATAGTTTTGTAAATTATCAGTCAGGCTTACATTATGTGAAAGGCCTTGAATTTAAAGTATTAAGACTTAAATGTCTGTGTCTCATTTTTATAATTTTGGGTTATCTCACAGATTTCATCCCTATGTAAAAGCATTAGTTTTCTGTAGAACCCCAAACTGAAGATAACAGTACATTTGCTGTTTTTTGTTTTTTAGTGTTTTTTCCTGCTTTCAGGTCTTCATTTTTGGCAATTCAGCTAATGAGCTGTAAACTCTAAATTAAAGCATGACAATTACTCTTTTATCACAGAGTAGAAATTGCTAATCCAAGGAAGATTCTGGCTAATGTATGTTGAAAGAAATCTCATTTATCTCATATGGAAACTTCTTTGACATTTTATAAATATTTCAAAGTACATGTGCTATCAGAATGTATGATTTTTCATTTTTTTAAATGGAAAATAATGTATATTGTATAAAATCAGAACTGATAACCTGTTCAGCAGAAAACAGCAGATTCTTGTGTCTTCAGTTATTGTAGAAAGAGGAAGAAAATACTTTTTCAGAAGAGAAAATTCCCTTTCCCTTTCTCCTCAGATTACCTACTTTCTAGTCCTTGTTTGTGCTTTTCATTAGAATATGAAAATATTCATGGCAATATCCAGGCTTTCTGATAACAACTCTGTGTGTACGCAGTTAGTTGCTGTACCTCTTAATCAGTAGGGCAATTAAGCCTTTCTGATTGGTTAAAAAGAAAAGAAAAACACCTCCATAAGGAACATTCACCTTTTATATATTTAATCATCCATAAATACAGATGGTAATTGTCTGAAAGAAAAGATGCAGTGAAATTAATCACTTCCTGACCTGATGGTATCCATAAGTATAATTTTGTTATCCACTTCCACGAGACACTGTCAAAATATCCTTCTTCATGCTAACTCTAATCTTAAGAGACAGAACGTCTCTTTGAGATATTTTCAGGTTCCACAGTGGAGGAGGGGAAACCAAAACATGAATAATTCTTTTAATCCAGACTTAAAAATAAACTTCTTTAAACAGATTGTTCCCTTAAATTTTGTCACTGAAACAAGAGTAGCACTCTATAAGAAGCTGTCTAGCAAACCCCCATTGCTATAGCAAGCATTTCTATTAACTTACAATTTATATGAAATTATGAGTAGCTCTGTCCAGAGACATCTGAAGAAGAGCCAGTTATTCGTAGAATTTTAGAGAATTTCTGTCCTTGCTTTTGTTGATGTCACACCACACTCATCAACAAGAACACCAGAGTCTTCTTAAGTGTCATCCTCATAAACAGATCATGTTGGCTGCATGCCAGATATCATCAGTAGGAAGTGACAAAAACTGTTTTTTCTTTTTTAAAAATGTCATGTGAGACTGAAACAATTATAGATTTTGGGTATATTAAATTATTTTAATTGTTTCCCAAATTTTCCCTTTTTGCCCATAAAAGCAGACAAGATAGGATATAAAGGTAACAGCATAAAAGCCTTAGGGAGATTGTCACAAAATATCACTCTTTGCTCTGTCTTGAAGCACGTCACTACCGTGTTTTTGTTCAGTCTATCAATGTTTTATTGTGGTCCTTTATGGTATTTCATTTTGTCCGTCCTAAGTAATCAGATATGCACAGCTATTACATTGAGTTGGAAATCCTGTCAGTCCTGTCCCATCCGTATGCAGCCTGAATCCTAATGTTTGTTAGAATAGACGCTGAGCTGCTTCACTATTTCCTGGGCTTTGCTTATTCTGTGAAAAGGAATGTCCTCTTAGCATAAAGTATAGTCATTCCGACTGGCCTATACTTTGTGCAATTATTTAATGCACTGTAATTCCACATGAATACACGGCAACACTGAGGCCAGACAAAATTAACGTTCTCTTTTTGACATCATTCATATCCTCATGCCCACTTCCATGCTTTCAACTTTCAAGGGAATTTTTTAAAGCAACAAGGTGCATTAGAGAAGGTATGTCCTCATCAGCCACCAGTCATGCTTCTAACAGACTAAAAATCTAGACTAGGGATTCGGAAATGACTTTGTGGAGATGTTTCACCCCATACTGTATCCCTTGTTGCTTTGCTAAAGGTAAAAAAAATGAGAGTTAATTTTGTCTGGCCTGCAGCTACTTAGCGATGGTTGTGTATATTTCTGTCCTGTACAGGTAAGTGGTGTCTCAAGGGCCAGGCTAATCAAAGATACCACTTGGATGAGAATTAGATTCCTTACATGATGTTGCTGTTTCTATCCATGTGCAATTACAGTATCTGTGCTGTTTATAAAGGCCTGTTCCCACTAAGTGTCCCTTATCTGTTTATTTTAGGGGCAAAAACTTTCAATACTCAAATCACTGGTGTTTTCCTTCTTTGTCTCAACAGAGGGTTGTCCGGGTCTGTGCAACAGCAATGGCAGGTGTACATTGGACCAGAACGGCTGGCATTGTGTTTGCCAGCCAGGCTGGAGAGGTGCTGGCTGTGACGTAGCCATGGAGACCCTCTGCACGGACAGCAAAGACAATGAAGGCGGTAAGAAGTGTGGGGCGTGAAGACAAGTGTGTGCCGAAGCACAGGTTTCTAAGTTACAGTGAGAAGGCAGTTAGCTCTTGCCAACAAAAGGCTGCTCCCCATAGATTAGATTGATTGAAAAACTAGGAGCGCTGCTGATCGAATGATTCTGTCCCTATTTTTCTGGAAACAAATACAAGATTGTTACTACTCACAGAAAAGGCAGGGTTACCAAGCTACTACATAATGTCCACTGTGTTCTGTTCTGTTTTTCAATCCTCAGGGGAATCTGCCAACTACAGTATTAGGGCTCTGTGAATTGGGAACTCTAAAGCATTTTCTTTCTTTTCTTTTCTTTTCTTTTCTTTTCTTTTCTTTTCTTTCTTTTCTTTCTGTCTTCTTTCTTTCTTTTCTCTGAGTCTCTCTCTATCACCCTTGGTAGAGTGCTCATCATAGCTCACAGGAACCTCAAACTCCTGGGCTCAAGTAATCCTTCTGCCTTAGCCTCCCAAGTTGCTAGGACTATAGGCACCTCCCATCACACTTGGCTAGTTTTTCTATTTTTAGAGACAAGTCTCCCTCTTGCTCAGGCTGGTCTCAAACTCCTGAGCTCAAACGATCCTCCCCAGCCTCCCAGAGCTAGGATTATAGGTGTGAGCCACCATGTCCAGCCCAAAGCATTATTTTTATAACTAACATTCCAAAAGACTCAAGGCATTTTCTGAGTTTTCATGCTGAAAGTCATGGATGTAACAAATTAAATGGTAACAGAGAACAAGTTCCCTTGATGTTGTATTTTAGTGTCTTTTTATCCTTAACTTTACATCCTGTTAAGGGTATCATGATACTCTACCCAAGTTAAGCTATTTAATTAAGAATAATTATTTTCTCAGTTGAGCACATCCTCACACTACCATATTTGAATTTCAGAGAATGGAGAGTTGGTGATTCTTCCAGCGATGAAGTAGTTACCCCGAGAGCTGTTCAATTATGACATACGGTCAGCACTGTACATCTAGAGTGGGCCTAACTACTGTTCTGTAGGGAGCAGTGACCAGAACTAAGCCCTCAATGCCGCTGTACCCCAAGACATAGCACACACATACCCCCAGCCTGCACCCACAGTTCCTCCTGAACCAAATGGTATTTGTGCCTTATCTTTTTGACAAAGAGCTGCAATTCTGCTTTCTAGTTTCTCCTTTAACCTGGACTGTCAGAAAACTGGAACCACAAATTCTGGGCAAAAGCCTCTCTTCCTCCTGCTCCTGAAAGGTGTGAGAAGTCCTCAGCCCACAGAGCTTTTCCTGTGTGGTAATACCTCATTGCCCCTGCCTCTCAACAATGTGTTTTTTAGAAATGACAGCATTAATCCTCTCTGAACCACAGCCCAGATGGCACCTCTCCTCCTTAGTGTCCCCCAAAAAACCCCCTTTCCTGTTGTTGCTGTCACCTGGGCAGAAAGGAGAGCTTCTCTCCTTCCTTGATGGTGTATTTCAGATTTTGTCTTCTAAAAGGAGATTACAGTGAGGGGGCTGCAGCCCCTCAGAGGGAAGCAACTGCAGGGCCAGGTCTGCAGAGGCAACGCAGAGTAATTTAGGGCCTAATCAACTCTTTAGTATTGTTATCAGCAAAGGAGGTTTTTCCTTTTCCTCAGAATTCATCAACTGAATTGGCCTCATTCCCCTTTGTTTATTCTTATTAGCATGAAACTACGCTGTCTGGAGGCTTCCCCCTCAAAGGGGGCATCTGAGCTGATGGAGGGCCTCCTGTGGATTCTCTGCTATTTCACATGATTTGTATTCCTCTCCCTAACCTAATTTTGTTGGCTCTTCCAAGGAGGAATCTCAGTGCCAGACTTCTTATGCCCTGTGATTGTGACCTAAGCTAGAAGGTTCTTTGAACGTAAACATCAGCTACATATATAAAGATAGCATCTTCTGCACCAAAGCCCAAATCGAGATGCATGAGCTTGCAGCATGAGAACAACAGAACAGAATGTTTAAAATAAGGACCATAACTGGAATTCTGTGACATATGGTGACTGAAGCATTATAGGTCCATTGGCTAAGTTTGGTGTCAAAGTGGTGAATTAGCCATTGGCTAAGTTTGGTGTCAAAGTGGCGAATTAGCCAAAGAGTAACTAAGAAACTTGATTTAGCACATTAAGTAACTGAGGCGGAGGAGCCGAAGGTGAAGACGTCCCTTTGGCCCTAGTCAGAAGTTAAACGATTCAGATGCACTCCTGTAGGCTGGTTGGAGCAACATTGTAGAACACAATCTTGGCAAAAGAAAATCAAAGAAAATTGCTTATTATTCCCAGAACTGAAAAAGATATATCAAAAAAAAATTAAAGAAAGACACCTATCTGTAGGAAAATTATAACTTCTTTTAAAGAATCTCTAGAATAGAAAAGCAAGCACCCTTTGTACACAATACTAATTTGAAACTAGCACATGAACAACTATAGGTCCACACGAGATGAAAAACACAATTAAATTCTAGAAGGAACAGGGAAAGAGACTCAGTAAGCTCCCACCTAACTGGTACAATGTAGGGTATATGGCACACCTCCCAGGTGATGGACTCAAATGTAACTTGACTTCTGAACACAAACAGTATAACCTAATACTCAATTGATCCTCCTGCCTCAGCCTCCTGAGTACTTGGGACTACAGATGCCTACCACCACCTTACATTATCTGAAGTTTTATTTTATTTTATTTTTTAGAGACAGAGTTATTTTATCGCCCCTGGTAGAGTGCTATGGCATCACAGCTCACAGCAACCTCCAACTCCTGGGTGTAGGCGATTCCCTTGCCTCAGCCTCCCTAGTAGCTGGGACTACAGGTGCCCACCACAACGCCCAGCTATTTTTTGTTGCAGTTTGGCCAGGGGTGGGTTTGAACCTGCCACCTTCGGTATATGGGAACGGCACCCTACCCACTGAGCCACAAGCGCCAGATTTTTTAAAAATCTTTTTAAAAAATGTTTAAAGATTTTTTTCTTAATGTAATCTTTGTGAGACACTAAAATAAAAACATTCCACAGAGATACTAAAACAAGTATCACAATAAAAATAATATATCTTCTTAAGCCAGTCATTTTCCTTCACCTTTAAAATTTACTTTCCTTTACCCAGTCAAGTTTGCCCATCATCACTATCTAACTCTAAAGATTCTTAAAATCTGGCTCTTACTAAATAGATGTATCTCTTTGGCTTTATGTGTTTCTGCTCCCTCTTTATCTCTCTGAAATGCTTAAGCATCAAAAAGGTTTGTTCTTTTTTTTGTTTGTTTGTTTGGAGACATAATCTCTTACTCTGTTACCCAGGCTAAAGTGCCATGACATCACCAACCTCACATTTTGGGCCTCAAGTGATCCTCCTGCCTCAGCCTCCTGAGTACCTGGGACTACAGGTGCTTGCCACCACAACCAACTAGTTTTTCTATTTTTAGTAGAGACAAGGTCTCACTCTTGCTCAGGCTGGTCTCAAAACCATCCTGAGCTCAAGGGGTCCGCCTGCCTCAGCTTCCCAGAGTGCTGAGATTACAGGAATTACACTGCACCCAGCTGAAAAGGGAATTCTTTATGAGGAATAGGAATAATGGACCGCTAATAAAATGGACTGGAGCAACTTAACAGGGTCTGACAGTTACAACTGTTCACAAACTCATCCTAGAAAAAGTGCTGCATACCACATTGCTGAGTATCACTGTCATCACCAGATGGCCAAGGGGAGCACTGTACTTTGGAGGTGACAGTAGTGATACTCAGCCTTGAGACACTTTTCACCAAAGTGAATTTCTCTTCACCAAGATGATTTCTCCAAAATGCGTTGTGTCTGGTAGTTGTAACCAGGTTACCATCAGGAGAGCTAAGCAAGGTTTGCTCGGTTTTCTGGCTTCTCTTCTTGTCTCCCTCCTCCAGTGGGTAGTTCCCCTCTGGGTCCCTGAGGTATAAGACTCAAGCCCCACCCTGAAGATTGAGTGGTTGAGGGCATAAAAATGACTTTAAAAGGTTCATGCTAGACTTGGTGCAAGAATGGTAGCATGCCAAAACATAACTCTTTCCAGAAGTAACATACCTTACTTGTACACAAATAGTTCTTTTCTGTCCTTCAGAATCACTACATTGTGGGGATACAGCAGAAAGATGTACCGAAAGCAGCCATTTTTTATCAAGGCTTCAGGAGCTGATCTCAATTGAAAAAAGATCACAAATTCAGCTGAGGTTATTCAGAAATTGGAAAGAGAAATGGTAATACATAAAGAAAAGATGTAAAAATAAAATATCAACTATAAGAAAAGTAGAAATAAATTAGGGATAAAAAGGAGGAGGAAGAAAAGGATGAAATTAGAATATAAAGCATCAGAATGAGTATGATGAATGGAGGTGGTCTAGGTTTCAAGGTTACCAAATGAAAATAAGTAAATGTTTTAAAATATGTGGAAAAAATAAGTGTAGCAGGAGGGTGAGACTGTGTTCTCCCAATACAAATTTTAAAATAAAAATTAAACAAATAGGCCAGGCTGAGTGGCTTGCAGCTGGTGTAATCCTAGCACTCTGGGAGGTAGAGGCAGGACTGCTTGAGGCAAGGAGTTCAAGACCAGCCTGAACAACATTATAAGACACCTCCATCTTTACAAAAAAAGTTTTAAAAAAGAGTGGCGTGTGGTGGCAGGTACCTATAGACACAGCTACTCAAGAGACTGAGGCAGGTGGATCTCTTGAGCCCAGGAGTTTGAGGCTGCAGTGAGCTGTGATTTTGCCACAGCATTCCAGCTTGGGCCATAGAGCAAGATCCTGTCTCAAATAAATAAATGTACAAACAAATGAATGAATAAATAACTAAAATGGCAGGAAGCAACACAAGGAAGAGAGAAGGGAAATGATTCAAAAAAGAAAAAGAAAAATTGCAAGAGATAAGTACTTTCCAAAAAGAATCCAAATTGTATCAGAACATATGATGGCACTCAGAGTCCCAGGTAGGTAAGGATTTGGGGAGAAATTATTACTTTGGA